AAAAAAAAAGATAGTCAGGCGGCCAATGAGACACTAACCCCACCCCCATGTCCCTGGATCAGAGTGCATACATAAATAAAATAAGCTGCTTGTTTCGTTGTGGCGGCTGCATCGACTCTAATGGGCGAGTTGCATTCTTAGCTCAGCTGCATAGAGCAACAACCTTCCTTCTAAGTCGAAGGTCACAGGTTCAAGTCCTGAAGGATGATAAGTTCTTTAGGAGAGTGGCCGAGTGCGGCGAGTGGTGTAAAAGCAACAGACTGTAAATCTGTCGTAGGCCATATTTTGTGGCCATGCGTGCATGTGGGTTTTAAAATTTCTGTCCGCGTGCACATAACTGTGTGTTTCTTGTGCCCGTGTTTGCTCTTTTTTTCTTGTGGCTGTGCGTCGACATAGTACGACCAACACCACAAGATACAACCCAGTCCACATGGTACCGCCCAACCCACATAGTACCAACCTGGCCACACAATACCACTGCTCTTACCCTGGTATACGCGGCAAGAGCTGTTTGATTCGGGCCTGCGCAGGTAGCTAACGCGGCAGACGACTTTGAAAAGGAGCCATCGCACGCTTGCCAGCAATGGAATATATCGCTTCACCAACTTAGGCTCATGGGAACTGGTGGCTTACACCGCCAGTACATGGACCCAGCCTAGCAGAGAGTTTCTGTTGCCACAAGCCAAACTCAGAGGGGGCCGCGCTGCATGGGGAGCCATTGCAAAAAAAAAAATTGCAGCCTCCAAAGTGGTGCGGATTCCACGCTGACACCCGTGGGCCTATGTATGCTGTACTGGTGCTTTAATATGTTTCCCCGATACAGTGGAGCCAACCTGACATACTTGGTTATGTTCAGGATCGAAATGAAATTCTCCTCAATATCCATGTTAGACTCAGTAGGCTGAGGCTGTCCATAGCCTCCATATATACTGGCCAAGTCTTATCCAGGTGCCCCTCGGAGTGGCAGTTCTGAACAACCGGTACTTCCGCCGAGGCACTTTTCTACGGGGCCAGACTGCGCCGCACACCCAAAAAAAAAAAGAACTGGAGCAGCCTTTCTTTCGGCTAGCGCCGCCAGTCATTTTGCCCGGCGGACGAGCCCTGAAAGTTGCGGCAGCCTGCAAGCCACGGCTTTAGAAAAATAG